TCCAGCTGAACCCGAGGAAGAACTTCTTCCCGCTGAGGGTGCCGGAGCCCTGGCCCAGGCTGCCCAGGGAGGCTGTGGAGTCTCCTTCTCTGGGGATATTCCAGCCCCGCCTGGCCGCGGTGCTGTGCAGCCTGCTGTGGGTGACCCTGCTTGGGCAGGGGGTTGGGCTGGGTGACCCACAGAGGGCCCTGCCAGCCCCTGCCATGCTGGGATTCTGTGATTCTGTAGGTGGAGGCTTAGAGACTGTGGTGAACATGGTGCCTGCAGCAGCAGCGGTGAGGGTTGGAAGGGGCTTCCCAGGCGGCTGGGGCAGGGAACAGTTTATGTACAGCTGTAACAGTCTCTTCTGCTACAGAAGACGGAGGAGTTTCACCACTCTTGGGGTCTTCCTGGTGCTGGGAGGTACCATTCTGGGTATCTGGGTTGTGGAGAACGTGCAATTTTTCAGGGCTGTGCAGATAATACAGTAACATCTTCTTTTTGCGGACCCCTTGGAGGTGTCCCCAGGACTCCGAGGGATGGTGGGAGCAGCAGATGTTTCGGGATGGATGTGGAAATAGCGATGCTGGATGGCTCGAGGTGAGGCAGCCGAGCCCTGCAGTCCTTGGCAGATAACGGCTGGCGGATAAACAGCCCGCGGATCACCAGCAAAGGCAACCACGCCGCTCCTCCGGGGCTGCCCTGTGGGTTGACCTCCACTCCCGTTGTTGTCCTCATCCGTGGGAAGATAAAGCAGGGGAGAAGTTTTTAAGAGCAAACAGTGCTCGAACAAAATCCGATTGGGAAAGGATCGGCTTTGGCTCCGAGTCGTGAGCGTCGGTGCTCTGCTTAGCGCAGGTGCGAGCCGGGGAGGAGAGCACCGGGGCTGGAGCGGGAGCCCTCGGCTGCCTCTGCGGGTCCGTCGGCCACGGCAGAGCGGCTGGGCCCCGGCTCTGTTGGGGCTCCCGGGGCTGCCTTGGCCCAGCTCCCTTTGCAGCCCCAGCATTTACAGCGCGGCACCTCCTTTCTTCACGAGGCTCGTCAAGGGCTGCAGGAGAGCTGCTGGGCTGTGCGGCCGGGGACGGCTCTGCTGGTGGCTCCGTCCGTCAGCCACCACCTCAAAGGAATGCTTACGAAGTTGTGTCAGGCAGTGCTGCTGATGGGACTAAATGCAATGTGTTCATTACGTCTTGTCAACATTTTTCTGGCTTTCTCTGTAATGAAAACAAGATAAATGTGAAAAGTTAGGCTCAAGAGAAAGGTTGATGTTTACTGACCCAGATATCCTTAGTCTTCTTTAGTTTTCCTTTAACCTCAGGGGTCCATACGGGGACCAGTACTGTTAAATATCTTAAGCAGCGACGAAGACAGAAAGATTGAGTGCACCCTCCACAAGCTTGCAGGTGACAGCAAGCAGAGTGGTGCAGTCATGCCTGAGGGACAGGATTTTTAATTATGTTTTATGGTGGTGATGGGTTGACAGTTGGACTTGATGATCTTAGAGGTCTTTTCCAACTGTAATGATTCTGTGATTCTATGACTCTGTGATTCTGTGTAAGGGCCCCTGGGCAAGGGGAGGGAGAGAGGAGGAATGCAGGTCTGGAGAGAAGCGGAAAATGCCACGAGCTAATCGGGGCAGGATTAGCATGTCTTGATAAGCCAAGATGGGCCTGCCAGGCTTTGAATCCAAAGAGAGCAGCAGCAGATGGCTCCTGTGCTGTGGGATTTAAGTGTGTCTGCTCCCGCGCCGGGCTGCTCGCTCGCAGCAGTCCTCGCGTTTTCCAGCGCCAGCTGCAGCCGAGGCTCCCGCCGTCCTCTGGCCAGCAACACCTCAGCTCTGCACCGCAGCCCACACAGCTTCCCCGGAGCTGCCCAGGCTTTCTGGAGCCTTGAGCTGGCTGTGGAAGCATCTTCTGGGGTGGCCATAGCGTTTAGGGCGCGTGCGTGGGAACAGCCGGAAGCTCGAGGGAGCCGCCTGCTGCGGTCGGTCGTCGCTCTCGGGAGGTCCCGGGCTCACACAATCTCTTGCTCTGCTTCATCTCTCCCTCTCCCACCCGCCAGCTGCAGATGAGGCGTTCTCTTTCAAGTACAGTCCTGGGAAGCTGAGGGGAGACCAGTACAAGTCAATGATGACCAAAGAAGAACTTGAGGAAGAACAGAGGTAGGTTGGGTTTCCTTTTTCTTCTTGCCGAAGGCCATCTGGTTGGTGTCCTCCCACAGCAAGCTGGGCGTGCTCAGACGTCTCTCCCCAAACCTCCTTGGTAGCCTTGGGCTCAGCATCTCATTGCACCGTGGTCCAGACCTCTCCCTCCCAGGAATACGTGAGAACAACGAAGGTCACGCTGATCCCGGAGGTGAAGGCTGTGGCCCTGTGTGCCGTGGGAGCTGCTCAAGCTCCTGCTCTGGATGCTCAGACCAAGTTTCCCAGCTGCTGCGAGCTGATGTAGTTCCCCTGATCCCATCAGTACCATGCTGATTTACATCTGTTGAGGACCTCATCTCTGGCTGTTTCCCTTCGCTTTACCCTGCGGGTGGCCTCCAAGCTGAGGGCATGGGCATAGCTCAGAAATGCTGCAGCAAAGCGAGCGAGTGTGGAGCTTGGGAGCTCCCTGTGACGGGGCTGAGGTGGGAATGGCTGTCCCTGGGGCTGGCTCCTCAGCTCTCAGCGGTGGGGGGGGGTTCGCCACATCGTGGCCCTGGTACAGAAGGAAAAGTGTCCATCTCGCACTTTTTGCTGAAGTTTCCTCCTGGGCTTGAGGCCTGCCTGAAGAAAGGAGGAGCCTGTCTCACTGCCAAAAACCAGCTATT